CAGCGCAAACAGTTTAAAGTTTTGAGATGTTTATAAGCAACTTAAAACACTTGAAAACTTAAGAGGAAATGTCGGGCAACCTTAATAATAGGTGGGGCGACCAGCTCCACCTATAATACACACACAGCATCTTTATACAATATTCCCATAAGCCAGCAAGTCTTAGTTCTGTCTTAAGCCACACACCCATCTCCTTCCTTCCCACACACCCTGGAGTATCTCCTATGGTAAGGATAGGAACTGGCATTTAGGCAGTGAGGACATATTAGCAGCTGAGCAGGATGGAGCAAAGAAGCCAATAGTGGAATATAAACTAGGGAGAAAAGGGCCACTGAGGTGGAAATGGAGGGAGGAAGGAGGGAGGCAGGTGATTCTAATGCACATGTGCCAGGAAGGCCTCATAACCCTCACCAGGACATTCGTTTTGGGTTTAATAATTAACCATTTAAGAGGCATATTGTATTGACAGCGGGGACTCTAGTAATGCTATTGTCTCCTTCTGATGCTTATGTGCTATATCTGTTGTGAAAAGGGTTGTTGTGAAAAGTGCTCCACTCCCCACTCTGCCTGTATTACGAACAGATCAGGACTGGAGTATTGATTAGATTTAGATTACATCAGTTGAATTTTTCATATCTTCTTCTGCAGCCTTTCCCAGTTATCTTCTCTAAGGGGTCAGGAATTGTTTTGCCCCTTTAGAGCTAAAGAAGATGAATCTCAGGACATGAAGTAAAATTCTAATTTACACTGGAGATAATTCAGATGTATCAAGGCCAAAATTGGACTATAGCAATAATAATAAATTTTCCACATGACATGAGTAGCCCTGGGTTTAAATCAGATATACAGAAATAGAGTGGAAGAATCCAAATGGGCCTGTTTTCTTCTTGGCGCCATGCCTTTTAGGAGACATAGTAGTCTGCACAGTTAACTTCAGCAACCAACCCTCCAGATGCAAATGCTCCTGAACTTCAGGGACAGTGGGATCCAGATGTGAACTTCACAGCTGGTGTCTGATATCTATGAGCTAAACCAGGGATCGGCAACCTTTGGCTCACGGTTCGCCAGGGTAAGCCCCCTGGCAGGCCGGGCCGGTTTGTTTACCTGCCGCGTCTGCAGGTTCGGCCGATCGTGGCTCCCACTGGCTGCGGTTTGCCGCTCTAGGCCAATGGGGGCTGCAGGAAGCAGTGCAGGCCGAGAGATGTGCTGGCCGCCGCTTCCCGCCACCCCCATTGGCCTGGAGCGGCGAACCGCGGCCAGTGGGAGCCTCGATCGGCCAAACCTGCCGACGCGGCAGGTAAGCAAACCGGCCCAGCCCGCCAGGGTGCTTACCCTGGCGAGCCACGTGCCAAAGGTTGCCGATCCCTGAGCTAAACCAAAATCCTGATCCAAAAAACCCCCTCAGTCTTACTTGGGAGAACCAGATATCCAGATCCAAACTTTACAGCACTGGACCAGCTCTTAACAAAACTGCCTTTATGCAGCATCAATGTGCTTTCCCTCTGCACAATGCAATACAATCAATCTGCTCTTACCCCTTTGAGAAGGAGTCACCTTTTTAATAAGTAGCGCTTGGCCAAGTTACATTCTGCTTCTAAGAAAGAGTGGGAAGTTCCATCTCTCTTCAATGCCTAACGAGAGAGGGTCTTTTGTATTGTTTAAATGACATCCTAAGTGATTCACTTTTTGCAAACATGAACTACTTTGTAACACCATGGAGTTTGCTCTTCTTGTGCAAACTAAACTTGTAGGGTCGGCTTGCCCTCTGCCTACCAAACCAGAACAGTTGTGTTTTTCACTCACTTTGGACAAGTGTAAAAGACTGTACAAGGTGCAAAGCAAAGGAGGAAGGAGGCATCTTATTAGAACCAACTTGTTGTGAGGCTGAAGGATATGTGAGAAGCCTGCATTTGCAAGAGAACCCAGACAGCTCTGGTGTTTCGCCGAGCCTGAGAGCTTGGCCTTGAATATTCTTGTGATGTTGAATAATATCTATTTAGCTCTTTGTTTTGGCTAAGACAAAAGGCACGAGGAGTGGTGGTTAGTCTCATGTTATGCCCAATGTCTTGTAAATCCACACCTGGCTACAGTTTCTCTTCACGTATCAGGCCAGATCCTCAGCTGGTGTATATTGGAGCCAGTGGAGCTATGCCAGGTTACACCAGCTGAAGATCTGCCCCATAGAATCTAGCTATAGAAGAAACCTGTTAGGTCACCCAATCCAGCTCCCAACCAATACACCACTATTCCTCATGGTACAATTTTAGTGTTTCCACTTGCATCTGGAATCCTGTAGAAATGTATTTAGGATTCCATTAAACCATAGTGTTTTGTGAATTGCACTAAATTTCGTGTATGCAGTATAGTTGTAGCTATGTTGGTCCCAGGATATTAGGTGAGATATCTTATATTGGACCAATTTCTGTTGATGAGAGAGACCAGCCTTCGAGCCACACAATGCTCTTCTTCAGGTCTGGGAAAGGTACATTAAGCCTCACCGCTAAATGCAAAGTGGAAAGATGGTTTAGCATAAGTAGCTAGCATATATTCCAAGGGACCATTCAAGGAAGAGAGTGGCCTGTTAACACCTTTGCAGTCATAGGTCAAAAATGGGGAGGGGATGGGGGAGAGTTAAGTGGGTTACAGATTGTTGTAATAAGCCATAAATCCAGTGTCTCTGTTCAGTCCATGATTTTTAGTGTCTAGCAGTTATGAATGTAAGCTCCCAGCCTCATCTTTTGAAAGCGTTGTGCAGGTTTCCCTTGAGAAGGACGGATAGGTCAGATATAGTGATCGCTCTGTGAAAAGTGTTCACCCACAGGTGACAGGGTGTTTTTCTCTTTTATCATTTTCCTGTGCGAGTTCATTCGAGAGCCTAGTGATTGTCTCATTTCACCCACATAGTTGTTGTTGGGGCATTTAGTGCACTGGAGGAGATACGCCACATGTTGTGATAGGCATGTGTAGGGTCCATGGATGCTGAACGGAGTGTTGTGGGGGGTGTTGATCATTGCAGCATGTTCCTGCTGTGGAAGAAACGAACTCCACTCTCAGGCTGGAAGCAACAAAATCAGAGACAGCTTTATTCAAGCAATTGCAAGGGAAAAATACAGCTGGCAAAGGACATCTCTGACTCAGTTTCTCCAAAATACAAGCAAAATCACACAAGCATTTATACCTCTTTGTGACGTGCATTCATTAAAAACATCTGCATTTTATTTAGGCTATTTGCTATCTATTTTAGTATTTTCTCACTTTCTTTTCTTAAAACATCGCTATTTCAAGGCTTGGTCAATTGACTATTCTGCTGTTTTCCACTCGCGTTTGACATGAGCCCTGCTTTTACAGGTCTCGTAATATCAGGCTAAAACTTAGCTCAACACTTAAATGGCTCTGTCTCCAACACTTAAATGGCTGCACTTAAACCCTCTCTTTCTTTCCCTGCTTCCACACTGCCATTGCCTCCATTAATCTCTCTCTTTCAGTTTCATACCAACTTGTTTTGGGCAATATGGATTGTACTAGCAATAAAATATTAGAGGTGACAAAATTTGCTCTGATCTGGGCAAAATAAAGGCCCAGCAGAATTACAGATGTGATAGCAGAAGTCAGTAAATTACTTCCATGTCCAAGACGCTGTCAATGCATCCAATTTTTTTAAAAGTCTAAGTAGCAGGCTAACTTCACCCCGGCATAACTCTGTTGATTTCACTTTGCTACCCAACATTTTGTGTTATGTTAAAGTGGACTATACAAAAACCAACTTATATAGAGTTACAGAGAATACATTTCTTTTCTGTTAAATTGGTGATTAATTTAAAGCAGTACCATGAAATTGACGGCTACTGTTCTGATAATCAGTTTGGATGGCTCACTAAGGCTCTATCTTTTTTGTGTGTCTGATTTTTTTTAATTGATTTTATATGAAAAAGCAAGCAATAAAAAATACAAAAAGGCTAATAACTTACAGCGTGTGTGTTTCCCAATACCACATGCTTCTCGGGATCTCCAACAAAGTTAGGCAATTATGCAATTTTTACAATTCATCAAAGCTGCAAGACCAGACAATTAAAAAAACAAAACAGGCAATACTACATAGACATAACACATTTACAGTAGGATACGAAGATAAGACATACATAAATAGGAAAAGAAGGGAATGAAAATCAATGGACTCTATTCACTTCAGTGAGCTTTGGCTAGACCGTAAATGCCAATAATAGATACCATTATTTGCATATATGTGGAATAGTTCATAGTTTTTAACCCAATACCCATGGTTTATCGTTTTGGGATTGATGCACGTGAGTGGCTGAGTGGATGTAATGGGTAACAGCTGAACAAATAAAGAGATAGCAAGTGGCAAAGTTATGCTTCAACACAGAGCTGCAAGGGAAATTAATCGTGGCGCTCAGTAACTGCTCTGGACACACAAAGAACCAGACCACTGGAGTCTGGATCAGAGCTTAGTTTCCTAAGAGGTTGTGAATTTTTCCTTCCCCCCTTTCCTTCCCATGACCTGCCGTGAAAAGGACTTAAAAAATAACAGACCCTGGGGAGATGTGGTCAGTTGGCAAGAGGAGGCATTTTGCATGTTCCAAATGTCAAAATATGCCCTGTTCTTGTTAATTGTACTAAACCTGGAGAAACAAAGATCATTTTGGATACAAAATGATACCTAAGTCTTTTCAATAAAGTTACTGTAGGCCCGATTTACCTCTCACTTACACTAGTGTGAGTCCATTGGAATTACTACTGATTTACACTCATGTAAATGAGGTCACAGTCATGCCCTATATTTGCATGTCATTTGTTGTTTACACCCTGACTTCTAAGAACGACCACGACCATCACAGTGGTGCTCGATGATCATCCATGTAAACAGTTAATCGCATCAGTTTTGGTTTTTGTCATTCGCTTTCATAGCAGGTTTCAGCTTTGGCAGGACAGAACGCAAACAAAGTTGCCCCTTAACATGACCAAGGTCTTGTCATTTACAGGAGAAGTTTGAGGGCTTGTTCCGTGCCTATGATGACTGTGTGACGTTCCAGTTGTTTAAAAGCTTCAGACGTGTGCGGATAAATTTCAGCAGTCCTAAATCAGCTGCTCGGGCCAGGATAGAGCTGCATGAAACACAGTTCAGAGGGAAGAAGTTAAAACTATACTTTGCACAGGTGAGAACCTTTTGACATGAAAGCCTTTCTCTCCTTACATCTTAATGGGTAGCTGCTTGTGTTACCAAAGAAACACTGTTCAATAAAATCAGATGAAAATAATAGCTATGTTTGAGTAGTTTGAAGTGAATGGGCCAAATGTTGCTCTTAGTTACGACTGTGTAAATCTGGATCAACTCCTCTAGAGTCATTAGCATTACTTTGGATTTACACTGGTACACATGAGAGCAGAATTTGACCCTGTGTTTTTAGTGCTCATAAAAGGCTCCAGTAACGTGGTTGAGTTTCCTCGGCTCCAGACTAAAGCTGTGCAATGTTTGTAGAGTCCAAATGTCATTCCCTGGCATTCTGATTTATTAACAAAAAGATAGTTCCAAAATAATACTTCATGTGCCCTTCCCCCTTCTCCTCAGGACCCGCCTGTCCCAAGCCCTCACTCTCTCTTCCAGAAGGCTACCCCCACCTTCCTTGTATTCAATAGTGAGTCTAAGCCACGCCTGCCCCAGTGAGTACATAGTAAACCTGAAGTTCCCTGCAGGTTTCAGAACCCTGCTAACAGGATGGGTCCACAGGAGAACCCCTCCATTCTATTACAGTACCTTCGGGGGAGAAGATTTCTGATTGAACAAAGCTGTGTAATCTAGCAGACAAAGGCATAAAGGGATTCGTCTTCCACTCACTAGAACTAGATGAATTCAGACTAGAAATAAGATACAGATTTGTTTACAGTGAGGATAATTAGCCATTGGAACAATTTGCCTAGGAACATAGTGGATTCTTCGTCACTTGAAGCCATTCAATCACGATTAGATGTCTTTCTAAAAGATAAACTCTTGCTTAACCCGAAGTTATGAGTCTGATGCAGGAATTACTGGGTTAAATTCTATGGCCTGTGTGATGCAAAAAGTCAGACTAGATGGTCACAATAGTTCTTTTCTGGGCTTAAAATCTATTCATGAACAGCTCTGCAGGTGGCAGCCCTGCATTTATCTGCAGAGTAGGAACATTATGGGCAGAGGCACTTCAGACTTGCTCACACAGCCACACCCAATGTGCCTGCCTTGGAGGAACCACCTCTAGCAGGGATGACATGATGATTCTATTTCCAGGCCCATGCAGTCCTTGGCAGAGAGGCTAAGACTGCCAACAAGAGTGCTGGTTGTGGCAGTGGCCTTTGTGATTTGACAGCTGTGCACAGGAAAGTTGACTGAGACTCACCAACTCATTTCACAGATGCTACTAAACAAACAGCTGTATCTGCTCTTTAAAGTTTGTGACTATCTAATCGTTGTTCCATTTGCCTGCCCTACACTAAAATAATCTGTGTTTCTAATACATTCGAAAGGTTCAGACCTCCGAGACAGATGGGGACAAGCTTCATTTGGCTCCACCACAGCCCGCAAAACAGTTTCTCATCTCGCCTCCAGCCTCCCCTCCCGTAGGGTGGCAGCCAATAGATGATGGAACACCAGTCATCAACTATGACCTCCTTTATGCAGTTTCTAAACTAGGACCAGGTAAGCTTTGCGGACCTCCTGTATGGGAATGTGTCGGCTTAAGCAGATTGGAAACAGAGTGAAGATAAATAACTAAGAATGCAATTCACCCCTGTGCAGAGAGCAGCACAAGGCTTATATACTGCTTAAACTCAAGGGTCCATGTGGGGTTTAAGTAATGCGTAGGCCTGGCACCGACTCTCTGCTCAGGATGAATTTTACCTATATGCATAATTATTCTTTCTTAACTTCAGTCAGTGTGCTTGGTGCTGTACAAGTCACAGAGATATGGGTCCTGCTCCCAGGAGTTTACAGTCTAAAATGCAGACTGGCACCAGAGGAGAATGCACGGATAGACCCAGAGGCTGATCACACAGAATGTTTCCATTGCACTGGTTTGCTTTTAATCTAGGTGGGAGCGTTGGGGGGGTTATACACTGGATTATAGAAGGGGAGGAATAAATGCTGTTGAGCAAGTTCTAAGAGTTTCTCACAACAAATACAATCGGGCCCAGTCCTGCAAGATGATGTATTTCTTCTGGGAGGTGTGAGCACAGTGGGGACCCCAGGGACCTAGCCCCACCCAGGATCGGGTCTATTTTGAGATAGCAAAACACACCAGAATTCTGAGTGTGACTCTGTGGGATTGTTCATTAAGAGAATTAACCAATGAACAGCCCTCTTCGGTTACGGTGGGGGGACTTGAAAGAAGTGTGAAGAAGCTATTAGGTGAGGGGAGTCAGTTGTGGTCCCCAGGGAAGTGGAAGGCAGACTGACAATGTATAACCTGGTATAATGCGGGTTTAGAGCTGGTTGGGAATTTTTTCACACATTTTTCATTGGAAAATATCTGTTTCTTTATAAGCTGTTCATGGAAAGAGTCCATTCAGACAAATTTCCCGTTTTGGGGGAGGGGGGTCAAAATTGTCAAAACAGCCCATTTCAACATTTTAGAAATGAAAAAGTTCTGTTTTTTCAGGTCCAAATGACTTTTCGTTTAGAAATACAAGTTAATTGACAGGTTTCAGGGTAGCAGCCGTGTTAGTCTGTATCCTCAAAAAGAACAGGAGTACTTGTGGCACCTTAGAGACTAACAAATTTATTAGAGCATAAGCTTTCGTGGGCTACAACCAACTTCTTCGGATGCATATAGCTATATGCAT